AAAAAAAAAAAAATATATATATATATATATATAGAAAATATTCGGCTCCCTTTATATATTGATTTCAATTTTATCCCTTATTTTTTTTTCCAAAGTTTCAAAATTAGTGCTAAGTTAATGGGAGCAAGAAATTTAAGATATGTTGGAAGAATTTGATCTAGCATGATTCAAAATAGAAAAAACGAAATCAGTGAGATTTGTTAGAGGGTGAGAGTAAATAACTCTAGTTTTATACGACTTGGAATGACTCTCTGATCATATTGAAAAATTATGTATAATGACATTCGATCGCGTAAATCTCATTGACAACAACATAAATTTTGTTTTTCAATTGGAACAGTGATTATTGTGGCTGTACCCGTATGCACCCCATCTTTTAATTTATTTCTCTCTTACAAAACTCTTGATTTGCAATTTTCGTTAAAATACTTAAGACTTCAAAGCTCGTCAAAATATTAACTAGTAACCTTCTTTATCGGTCTTAATTCCAATCCTCATCTCAATTTGAATTACATAACTAAGAACAAAAATTATTAGAATTAGAATTTGAAACACGTATTAAAGTTATATTTTATAATATAATTCTTTTTTCATCTTATTTTTTTATTACATTACTTCAAATCCCACCCTACTATTTGAATTGTAATACAAAAAGAATATTAAAGGAAAAAAAAATAAAAACCAGTCACATACAATAAGGGTATTTTTGGGTGTATATTTTTGTATAATTTATACATTTTATTATTATTATTATTATTTTTGTTATGCATATTGGAGAGAGTGTGACTAGTCATAAAAGCATCAAATGGTATATATAAATAGTTGATCAAATTTATAATTAATAATTAGCTTTTTTGACCAAGAAATTTTGATACATAGTACATGATATTTTTTTAATGACATAGCTGAAATTAAGATAGACATGATATTTCTTGACACACACACTCTCTTTCCTTGTCACAAAACCTTGTTTTTTTTAAGGAATAAAATCTTATAATGCTTATCTTATACATATCATGTTTCAATAAATTAATGAATACTATTAAAAGACATGTGCATTTTTTTTAAAGAGGTTTTGAAGATTAATGAATCTATTGACTATTATTTGATACCTTACATTAATCATTATTAGACAATTAACTAAACAATTTAGCTTAGAATTAGTTGTCAAAAATCAATGAAATAGTGAAATAATTTAATCCTCGTTGACTTTTTTCTGTTAGACATTATCGAAGATGGGCTTCTCTCTATTTAAAAATATAGGTCGATATCGTTTTAAGAAGTATAGAATTTCTAAAAACAACAATAAGCAAAAGCAATTACCTCATATCAATAGTAATACTGGTCTCCTGGGGATGATAGAGTGACAAAGACGTTGAGCCTTGTGGTATCACCTACCATTTGTACGAGTCCTGTGTTGCTCAATTGGTTAATGCATCTATCTTCGATTAAAAGATTGTGGGTTCAAATCTTCATCCCACATGTTGTATTGATAAAAATTGTATTTATATCTCTGATGAAACTATTATATTCTATTTATGTAAATCAAATTACAATCGAATCACTTTTGCAATTTATGTTAGATTTAATATTTCTTCAGTTTTATATTTGATTAAGTCAATCAACAGTCCACGGCCAATAGTAAACCATCGATTTACACCCATGAATTTATTCGTAAAATGTTACCTAACAACTCTTTAAGCAAAATTATCTTATGATAAGATAAAAAGAAAGAAAGAATGATAGTCTTAAAAAGTTGATGGGTTGGAATTTGGAACTAATTAAGTGCTTTATAATATGAAACCAAAGGTTTAAAAACCTTCTTGAAAGCAATGAAATGAAAACAAATGAAATGAGGACAAAACTTTTGCAGATTTAAACAACACAAGTCAAGACAAAAACTATGCACATTTGAAAACACTTGTTCAAAGTGCTTTCCCACACCCTTCTTCATTAAATATATAAACTAGGAAATGAATATTTAGTAAGCTTAGAGAGAGAAAGGCAGAGAGAGAAAATTAGGGTTTTGGTGTTTATGTAAGATACGACAAAATTTCTCTTATGATTGTTTCAAAGTTGTCAAAAGGTTAAGATTGCACCATGAAGTGAGATTATGAAGTCTTATCTTGGTCTACGAATGTTTCTTGTTTTCAATCTTTGAGAAACATAAGCATTTGGAAACTAGTTATTACTAACTCTTTTTTTTTATTTAAAAAAACATTTATAAAATTTAGTAGAAATTTGGAAACGAGAAAATCTAGTTTCTTATTTTTTTTTTTCAAAACATAATCAAAAGTATTATTTTATTATTCTTTACCTATAAAATATATTAAAAAAATAAACAAGACGTGAAAGTTTGAATATTTAAGTAAAAAATATACAATTGTCATATATTTTTGTAATTTAAAATTTTAGATAACGATAATAAAAAAGTAACAAAAAAAAAAACATGAAACAACCTATTTCTATTTATCAAAACAAAATGAAATAAAAATATGAACGTCACTAAACAAATAAAACTCTTTGCTTAGGTTTGAATAGGAGATTGTCAAATGGTCCAATGTTATATATTAAATTTTAATAAATTATATTATTAGAAAATTTGGACTACACGTCATAAAGTAGAAGATCTTGTACAAAGATTCTCCTCTTGTTTTTTTATCCAATAGAAACGAGCCGTATCAAAAGTGGTTCGATTACATCAGCAAATAGGGCTAAGATTATATATGTGATATTGCTAAATGCTGAGTTTAATTTTTTTGGTCGAATTTTTTTAATTATTCCACTTTGGTTGCTTTAAAATTTTTATTAGGATGCCTAGCTAATCTATTTCTTATCTTTGTTGTTAAAATATTTATATTGCATTTTAAAAAAAAAGTTACATTATCATTGTATAAAAACTAATTTGTGTATGTTGTGAGGGTCTTTAACCACGTGTAATGGAATTCAATATCAAGATAGTCTACCATTTTTTTTAGAAAGAAAAAAATTACGACTTAAATGAAACCAACGGTTCATTTTGAACTAAGTTTTCCAGTTAAATAGGGGTATTGGGACCCCACTCTTCCATTAAATCCTCTTCGAGCGCCCTCTTTGCTAAACAATGCGCTACAGTGTCTAGGTGAATTTAACCAAGAGCGGGTATTCATACAAAGTACAAAGACCAAAACCGAAGATTGAAAACTTAAAAAACTTTCCCGCTCTCCTTCATTTAATGTTAATTGTTTTTTGTTTTCACTTTTTCCCTCTCTCTTGCTTGCATGTTCTCCCACAAAGAGATGGTAGAGGGTGATGATGATGTTTGTTTCCATGGATGCTATGATATACTTTGCATAAAAACCCTAAAATACACACACAAGAGGGGGTGGGTTTGTTTAGTACATTTTGGTGACTACTTTTCAGCCCCACATTCATGAGTATGCCTTCTCCTCATTTCCCCTTTTGCTTTTGCCTTCAATTTTTTTCTCCTTCTCCTTAATTAATTTGATGCCTCTTTTCTTTAATTTGTTTTGTTTGTATAAAATAACTTTTTTTTATTTTGAGAACGATCTGATATTGTTCGTGTTTGTTATGTTTTGAATTTCGTTTTTCCATTTTTAGTAGATTCGTCTTTGTTCATACTCTAAGTTATCTCAAACTCTTCTGTAAGAGTTTGATAACTCAAAATTTTAGTAGTATTAAAAGTATCTTTTATATGATAATCAACATTCATGACCAAAAACCAAAGAATAATTATCTATTTCGTCGGTGTAGTTAAAACAAGAATGTTTGTAAATTGTCAATAACGCTTTCTTTTCTATGGAATATGATAAAAATTCTATTGAAACTCTTCCGTCCTGGGGATCAACAATAGCTAAACCTTGTGGCCATCACTGTTCAAGCTACGTATGGCTAACACCTTCCTTTACGTCTTTCGTCGTCATAAATTTTTATTTGAGCATCAAAGTGACTTTACCAAACACCACTTTGATGTGTAGTTGAACTTCTCAACCATTCTTTCTATTTAATATATACAATCGAATTGACGGTAAATTTACTTTTATACCTACAAAGTATCCTGAAACTTAAATTTGAAAAAGCAAAGCATTCAAAACCACTTACCAATCCAACCTATAACAAAAATAGTAATTTCACAAACATTTCAAAAAAAGAAAAGTTAGAAACATAACCACACAAAAAACAAGAAACTTAAAAAGAAAATCTATACAACATTACGAACGCTGTTTCCACAAATAAAAGACAGTAACTGATATCAAATACACATGTTCCTCGAGACCTCAAACAAAGAAAGCGAAAACGTTACCAAAAAGAAAGATACCCTTTCACCAAAACTCACATTGTGTAGTCCCAAGGGCATGCATTGGCAATAGGCATTGCCATTACCAAGAAAAGCAAAAGGGGGTGACCACAATTTTTATTTTGGGTGTGTTCATAAATGGTTCTTTAGATCACAGTGAGAGGGACACCCTAGAAAGACAGTGACCCTTCAAAATGAGGCCCACAAATTGCACCTGCATGAGAGATAAAAGGACTTGTCAAAGTCTGTGTAAAAACACACAAGTGGGAAGAAGTGGGGGTTTGGGGTGTGCATCCAAATGCTCCTACTCCCTCCTAACCCTCATACCTAGGGCAATCATCACACTCATTATTGTGTTTCTATCTCTCATCTCTAGTGGACGTGTATACACTAAAATATTCACCCGTCTACGCTACAAGAATTATGATCTTTAACGACGTATAAAAGAACGCCGCTAAACTCTCGTAGGGGTTGCTGCATAGTTTTACGCAACAGCCCTACTATGATATTGGGTTTTTGGTAAGTATCAATATCTATATTCACTTGAAAAAATGTCCCTGAATTGAGACATCAATATCGGTATTAATTTGACATGACGAGAACTACAAAGTGATTAACCATATGAACTAGATAGAAAATGACATTGAGATACTATACTTTGATGCGATATTAAATTCTCGTACTAAATTCAAAAGCTTAAGCTGATAGATTATGATATATTTTAGTATGGTCTAACGTTACTTTTAAAAGTGTTTAGGGAGGGCCAAAAGTGTTTCGCTTAAAAACACTTTTCTCAAAAACACATTCCAAACTCACCCAAAATCTTTTATCTACCTTCTTAACCATTATTTCGAAAATAGCTCTACTTTTTTTAAAATGTGACACAGCTTTATTGATCAATTAAATTTTATAAATCAAGGGGAACACCTCTGCATCAAAAGATTAAAAGAAGGGAAAAGAAAAAAGGGTTCAACAAGGATCCCAAAATATAATTTATAATTGTAAATCATAAAAAAGAGAAAAGAAAAAAGAAACAGCACTGTTTTCTATGAGATGAGCAGTAGATTTTTCTCTGGCTCTTCCTTTTTTAAGAGGAAGATCAAAAGCAGATTGCATCTACTCTGCTTTTACTTTACAGCTCTCCCTTTAAGACTATTCCATCTTCTAATAAAGCCCTTCAAATCCCACATTTTTTTACATGGATAATTGGTCCACCATTGTAGGGCAACTAGGAAGAAGGAATAAAGTAGGAGAAATCATTTGAAATTAGAAATATAAAATAATCATAATAACAATTTACCCTCAATTAAAAAAAAAAGAACATCCCACTGACCTGTTGGCTCCTTCTTCTTCTTCCCCTGCTGCAGGCTGCATCCATTCCATCATTATAAATTGATCACTCAACAAAAATTGTAATGATAAATTAATAATCATCATCTTCTTTCCCATCCACATGTTACCAACTCATTATTATTTCTAAAATTGCCTCTGGTAAATATTGAAAGTGGATAACTTTTATCATATGATCACTAAACACCAAAAAAAAGAAAAGAAAGAAAAATCATCACCATGGTTTTGAATCATCTTCCTTGTGGCATTCTTTTTCTTGGCTTATAAGAATATATTCCTTTTGTGGTCAGAATTTAAAGAGGTATGGGATTAGGGAAGGGAGCATCATTTGGGATAATTGGATTCTCGGGTTAAAAAAGTTTTCATGTTTCTCTCTCTTGCTCTCGAGATTCACCCCTTTCGAAGAGAAAATTATTGGAAGAGACCGACACAATGATGGTTTGTGTTCGATTATGATTATGTCGTCGTCGGGAAGCGAAAAAACTTCATCTGGGAGTGCCATTATGGGTGGGTTTGAACAGAGGCCTACAATGTACATAGAGCAGAGTACAGTCCTGAATTTTCTGGTTAGTTTTCAGGTTGATAGGATGATTTGGAGGAGGAAGAAAAAGAAGAGACAAAACTAAACATATCAGAGCCATGTTTATTGATGGAAAGTGCAAATCCTTCAGCTCATCTCTCTCTCTCTCACTATCATTCAAAGCAATAAAGAGCATCCTTTAATTAAAGCTAAAGGGTATTATTGTCATATGAATAAAGAAAGGAAACAAAGCATCAACTTTGCTTTTAATTTTTTTTTTCTTTTTTTCCTCCACACCCCCAATTTGATCTTTTTATGTTATCCAACGGCCATTTTGTAATTTGCATTTTGGTAGCAACTTGTCTTTCTACAGTACCATCTTCTCGCTTTCCTTTTCTTCAGCCTCTTTATCTCCTAGCTTTGCTAAAAGAAACTTGGCCTAGAGGAATTCAGAAAGCAAAGCCAAAGGAACAATTTTGTAGCAGAAATTCAACCTTGCATCTCTCTTGGAAAAGGAAAGAAAAGCAGATAAAAGAGGAGAAAGAAAAGGAGAGTCTTAGTGTTTTTTTCCTTACTTGTATTTGAAGACTCGTTTTCTGTGAAGATGTTTGATTCCTTAAGCCCAAACACACTTGAAGAAGTTCATCATATTATTCCTCTGCCTTCTTTAGCTCCTCACTTTGCTGAAGAATCCATTATTGCAAAGCTGCTTAAAACCCCTGCTCTTTGCTTCCTGTTCTTCCAAACTCAATTCTCTTGAAACAATTCTGGGAAAACAAACAATGTTGTTTTTCATTGTTTTTACATTCTTCTCTCTTCTGGGTTCCTCTTCTTCCCACAGTTTGGTCAGTGATTTCCATGTTTTGCTTGCTCTCAAACAAGGGTTTGAATTCTCTGACTCTCCTGCACTGAGCACTTGGACTGCCTCGAATTTCAGCTCGGTTTGTTCATGGATTGGAATTCGGTGCTCCGACGAACGAGTTGTTTCGGTTGACTTGACAGATTTGGGCCTTGGTGGCTCTGTTTCGCCTCTGATTTCTAGGCTCGACCAGCTTTCTGAGTTGTCTGTTGCAGGAAACAACTTCACTGGTAGCATTGAGGTTGTGAGTTTGAGTTACCTCCGATTCCTTAATATCTCGAACAACCAGTTCAGCGGGGCGCTGGACTGGAACTTTTCGAGCGTGCCGAATTTGGAAGTGTTAGATGCCTATGACAACAACTTCACTGCTCAGCTTCCCACTGGGGTTTTGGACTTACAGAACCTCAAGTACTTGGACCTTGCAGGTAACTTTTTCTATGGAAAAATCCCAGAAAGCTATGGCAGTTTAGAAGGGTTGGAATATCTCTCTCTTGCAGGGAACGATTTGGATGGTAAAATCCCAGGTGAGTTGGGAAATCTTAGAAATTTGAGAGAACTTTACTTGGGACATTACAATGCATTCGAAGGTGGTCTCCCGGCCGAGCTCGGGAAGTTGGTTAATTTGGTTGTCATGCAGATTTCAGACTGCAGTTTGGATGGTCAAATTCCTCATGAACTGGGGAATTTGAAGGCCTTGAACACTCTATATTTGCATACGAATCTACTCTCGGGTTCGGTCCCAAAGCAGTTAGCCAACTTGACAAACTTGGTCTTTCTCGATCTCTCCAACAATGCGCTCACCGGAGAAATCCCACCCGAGTTCGTTGATCTCAGACAGCTCAAGCTTTTCAACCTCTTCATGAACAAACTGCACGGATCTATTCCAGACTACATAGCAGATTTGCCAAACTTGGAGACCTTGGGGCTGTGGATGAACAACTTCACCGGCACAATCCCGAAGAATCTCGGTCGAAATGGGAGGCTTCAGCTCCTCGATTTGTCGACGAACAAGCTCACGGGTACAATTCCTCAGGATTTGTGCACATCAAATCAGCTGAGAATACTGATTCTGATGAACAACTTCCTGTTTGGGCCAATCCCTGATGGATTGGGTACATGTACAAGTCTTACAAAAGTGAGGCTGGGGCAGAACTATCTTAATGGAAGCATTCCCAATGGCTTCATTTACTTGCCACAGCTAAATCTAGCAGAGTTTCAAGACAATTACCTTTCAGGTACAATTTCAGAGAATTGGGAGAGTTCTTCAAAACCCATCAAATTAGGGCAACTTAATCTATCCAACAATCTTCTCTCTGGTACTCTACCATTTTCACTCTCTAATTTCTCTTCTCTGCAAATTCTCCTCCTCAATGGAAACCAGTTTTCTGGTTCGATCCCCCCCTCCATTGGAGAGCTCAATCAACTTCTGAAGCTTGATCTTAGCAGAAACTCACTTTCAGGCGAAATTCCACCTGAAATTGGGAGTTGTATCCATCTCACTTACCTTGATTTGAGCAAGAACAACCTCTCTGGCCCGATTCCACTTGAAATTTCAAACGCACATATTCTGAATTACCTCAATTTGTCGAGAAATCACCTGAATCAATCCCTACCGAAATCGATAGGGGCCATGAAAAGCCTCACGATTGCAGATTTCTCCTTCAACGACTTCTCCGGTAAGCTGCCGGAATCCGGACAGCTTGCGTTCTTCAACGCTTCGTCCTTCGCCGGAAATCCTCAACTCTGCGGCTCGCTCCTCAACAATCCCTGCAATTTCGCGACAACCGCGACGAAACAAGGCAAAACTCCGGCGTATTTCAAGCTAATCTTCGCCCTCGGCCTGCTGATTTGCTCTCTAGTGTTCGCCATCGCTGCGATCGTCAAAGCGAAATCATTCAAAAGAAACGGATCTGGTTCTTGGAAAATGACCTCATTCCAAAAGCTGGATTTCACCGTCTACGACGTCCTGGAATGCGTGAAAGACGGGAACGTGATCGGAAGAGGCGGCGCCGGCATCGTGTACCACGGAAAAATGCCGAACGGAGTAGAAATCGCGGTGAAGAAACTCCTAGGGTTCGGCCCTAACAGCCACGACCACGGATTCCGAGCCGAAATCCAAACCCTAGGCAACATTCGACACCGAAACATCGTCAGATTACTCGCATTCTGCTCCAACAAGGAGACGAATCTCCTCGTGTACGAATACATGAGGAACGGAAGCTTAGGCGAAGCCCTCCATGGTAAAAAAGCTTCGTTCCTCGGATGGAATTTGAGGTACAAAATCGCCATTGAAGCCGCCAAAGGTCTCTGCTACCTCCACCACGATTGCTCCCCACTAATCGTCCACCGCGACGTGAAATCCAACAACATTCTGTTGAATTCCAACTTCGAAGCTCACGTCGCCGACTTCGGGCTCGCAAAGTTCATGTTTGACGGCGGCGCGTCGGAATGCATGTCGGTGATCGCCGGATCTTACGGCTACATCGCTCCCGGTACGTTTTTTTCTTCTTCTTCTTCTTCCCCTGTTTTTCTTTTCCGTTTCGTAATCTGAAGATTTTTTTTTTCTATTTTTTGAATTTTTTTTCCTGATTGGGCGTTACAGTGTTTGTTAAGTTAGTTAATCTTCTAAAAATTTTTGTGGTGGGCCATGGTAATTGGATGAGTCAATGCCGGCCGTCCGATTGTCACTGCCAAGAAAATCCAAGGGCAGTGATTGACAGTGACCTTGTGAACAAGGTCATGGATGTCAACGGTCAAGATCATATATACAAATAAATAAAACTGAATTAAAGATAATATTTGAAAATTTCATGGCCTTAAAAAAACGTGTTCTTTTGAAATCTTAACTAAATGTTAAAAAAAGATATTTGAAACTTTCAGAAAATGAAGATATTTGAAAACTATTTTTCTTTTTAAATTTGGGCTTGTTTACTAATTTTGTATAATCTTAGCCAAATTAAAAACGTAAAAGATACTTGTATTTTTTAATAATTATTTGGATAAAAATTTCTCAGATTGAAAATTGCAACACTTAAATCAAATAAAAATTTATTGGAAGATAAGTTGCAATACTTAATAAGATGAATTTGTCAAAATTTGAAATCTAATAAGATAAAATTAAAAGTTTAAATATTTATGAAACATTGGAAATGGAAATGAAGAATATAGTCAAAGACAGTTGTCGCTTGAATCCTTGGGGGTTGAGTGGGAGCCATAAAAATTTAAAATAAAAGAAAAAACATAGGATCCGATTTTTATGGGAGTTTGCTAAAGTGACGGGCGGGTGAACTGTGAAAACTTAACGAGAGTAGAATTTTTTAGGAAGACGCACCGTAAAAAAAATAAAAAAGAAATTAAAAAAACTGACTGCGTCTCTGGATTCTGTGCTGAAGAGACAAGTAAGCAGTGAGTGGGGCCCACCTGGGCCATTTATGATCAGAATCTGACGGCTCTGATTGAATCATCAGATTCGTACACCGACATCTGATGGCTAACGTAACAAGCCAACCCCCCTTGACAGTCGTGAAAGCTCTCGCCCACTCTCCACGCCGGCCCCCATACATATATTTATTTATTTATTTTTAAAGAAAGCATTTTATTTAAATTACAAGTTTGATAAAAATATATATATATATAATAATAATTTGAAGATGTATGTCTCTGAATTTTATAAGGTGTTTAAAAGTTCATTAATTTTTTTTAGTACAAAGTTTATTAATTTTTAGTGTTATGTTCTATAGGATTTTTATATTTAGTTGTTTATGACATTTCAATTTCGTGTCTAATATCATAAGCTTTTATTTTTAGGTGTTTAATAGATTTCTAAATTGAATATAAATTTATTGTATATTTTTTTAAGTTCAGGAATTTATTTAACTTAATTTAAAAATCCAAAGATTTAATGGTCTATTAAAAATAAACATACCTTTCAAAGTCACCAAAGGTCAAATAATTTGACCTTAAATTAATGTAAACTTGATATCTTCATTATAATTTATAATTTTTGTCTTCTAAAGAATAACTTTTATGTTCTGAAAAATAGGTCATTCAGATATGTATTAAAAATTATTTAAATGCATTTTTACTGAATTTTTATTTTTTTCTAAAACCAAAAACTATTTTTGCGGGTAGATTCTGTTTTTTTTTTATTTCTTAAATCAAGTTTCTATTTTTCTTGAAACACCATGAAGTTTGGGCCACATTTTGAGGCATTTGAGTCTTCTAATGGGGGCCCAGCTATTTCCCAAGCCTTCATCTAGCCCAATCATGATCCAAATGGAAAAGTCAAAAAGTAATTATATATATAATTATATACTCATTAATAGTTGGTTGACTTTAATAATAATGATTAATATACTTTTTTCCAAAAAAAAAATTGATTAATATACTTTTACTTTATATCATATCCCATTATTTGTATAGCGAATGATTAACCTAGATACCATTAACTATCGATACAGTAATCATTTATTTACATGTGTCCTACCATTTTATTATACTTGTAATTATTTTTTAATTGTTATTTTTGTTACAAGAAGATATTTATATTATTTCTTGCCCTTGTAGAATATGCATACACATTAAGAGTCGACGAGAAAAGCGACGTGTATAGCTTTGGGATTGTGCTACTAGAGCTCTTGACGGGACGTCGTCCAGTCGGAGATTTTGGGGAAGGAGTGGTGGACATAGCGCAATGGTGCAAAAGAGCTATAGCGAACGGCGAGAAAGAAAACGACATAATTTGCATAGTTGACAAAAGAGTGGGGATGATACCAAAAGAAGAAGCAAAGCACTTATTCTTCATAGCAATGTCATGCGTACAAGAGAATAGTGTGGAGAGACCAACGATGAGAGAAGTTGTTCAAATGCTAGCTGAGTTTCCTCACCAATCATCCAACTGTTACCAATCTTCCTCCTCTTCTTCTCCCATTCAAAATATGAAAAAAGGCGAAAAGGAAAAAGAAGACCAGTTGAAGTCGAAACCAGATCTTTTGGTTTAAGAGAAAAGAAAAGTTATGATTTTTTTTCCTTTTTGGGGGGCTTTTAGGGTTTTAATATATAGGTAAAGTTAGGGTTTAGTTCATCTATATGTTCTTTGAAATCTTTAGAATATTGTGTGTTAAATGGGTTGTAATTTTGATATGTAAAGGGTTTTCTCAAGTTGTTAAGTTATTTTGGGTAAGAAAATTAGTTAGTGAAAGGAGGGCAAAATGGGTAGAAAGAAAGTGGGGTTGGGGTGAGATAAATAAACTAATTAAAAGAGTGCACTTCTTTTAAAAGGAATGGGTGGAAAAGCAAATGCAAGCCCTAATGAGGTCTTGCACATTAGCTCTTGACTTTGTATCATATTTTGATCCTAGCATCAATACATGTTACATTATTAAATTTCATCTCTCATGATTAATATTTAATGCAACCAATATTAACATAGCTCAAGAGTTAAAAATATCTAATTCATTTCTTAGCAGCGGGTGTTATCTTGACTTTGAACCTATAAATTCCCTTTTTATCGCACCTTTATCTAAGCTGCCCCATTACAACCATTATCAAAGTTCCTTTGATTTTTACATTCAATTCATGTTTAAGTGGGAAGATTTGATTCATTTGCAAGCCTATGGTAATAACATGCTTTGTTTTGATTTTGGGAGTAGATTTGAGTGAAAGTCTGCGAGGGTGTTAAGCCATTTGCATTTGATTTCAATGAGTTAATGAGATATTTGAGTTTTTAAAAATTATATCCTACCATTGCTTATTCTCTTGATTGTCATTTTGATTCATCTCATAGATGTGTCATTGACTTTACTTGTATTATTAGTTATTGAGAAAGATGAAAAGAGATTAGAAAGGTGATTCAGTATATTGAGTTAAGATATAATTAAGTATTCCATGTTGAAAGAAAAGAGATCTTACAATAGTTTATAATAGACATGAGCTACTCCTCTCATTGTCAATTGGTTTTGAGATGAAACTTCAAAATATTGATATAGGTTAAAATATTATTTTAGTTTCCGTATTTTAATCAATGTATTTTCAAATTCCTGACCTTTAAGAAAGTGATTATATTGGTCTCTTAATTTTATTTTTAATATCTTTTTTAATCATAACTTGAATATGACGCTACACTTAATATATTTATTGAAATGTAACCATGATTTTATTAAAATAATTTGTGTAAAAGTTTTTCACAAAAATAGTAAATTTTTAAAAGTACATGAATGTAACTACAACGATACATTTTAAAAGCACGTGGATTAAAATGAACGAAAATTGAAAGTACATCATCAAAATGAATATTTTAAAAATCAAAATGAACCAAAACTAAAATTACACTAATCGAAATAATATTTTTACTGAATATATATGTGGATTTATTTATTGATCGAGTACATTATGTGTTATCTTTTATATATATATATATATATAGATCATGATCACTTTCTCTTTTTCCCCCTCCTCTCATGATCCTAGGCCATGAATTATATGATGTTACTTTTCTCTCTCTCTCATGATATTATGTCATGAATACATGTTATATCATCATTTCTCTCTAAAATAAAGAAGTCAAAAGAGAGATATGTGTGCATTTTGTAATAATACGCCAACATGAGCATAAACTAATAATTAAGTTATAATTTTTCTTTGGGGAGTTCAATTTTTCATAATACACATATTTGTTGTATTAAAAAACAAGCGGGATGTAAATAATGTATAAGTTTATGATAAATTTTTAGTCAAATATATTTTAGTCTTGATATCTTATTGGATTTGAATTGACATTTGTTACAAAGGAGAGGTACTAGATCTATTATTATACAATAACTAACCACCTTATTAGTATATAAAAATTAACAACCCCATTAAGAAACCCTTTATTTTAAAGTTATTTACTTTATTCATAATTACTACAAGGCCAACAAAAATATAGGGTAGTGGCCAATTTTTATTTTTATTTTTTTTAATAACTCAAAATCGATATCATGCGATTTTGTCAATTGGATCTTTATAACAGAGTATTTCCGAAAAAACCAGGGAGTGAGTATCCCCCATTCGGCAACAAGCCGAGGGTGGTAGCTAGGGTGGGGACCATATTTGGACATCCGTTCTAAAAAATTGCCAATAGTATAACATTTTACATAAATAGCGAAACCAATTTTTAGGAGATTTAAAAAATTTGTGACTTTAACCTTGTCATTCCCTTTCATATTTTTTGTCCCTTCTCGTTTGAAACCAAACACACTTGATTTGAACCAGTTTACCCTTTTCACATTTAAGAGATTTACTTGATTTGATTCTGTATTCCACCAGCTACATATAACTCTCATATTTGAGAGGCGTGTAAATAATATACAAGTATTTACAATAAATAATAAAATGTATTTTAATATTTGATGCAATGACATTTTGTTACCCTAAACCTATTATTATACAATAACTAACCACCTCATTACTATATAAAAATTAACAACCTCACTAAGAATTAGACACCTTTTATTTGGAAGTTCTTTACTTTATTCAATTACTCCAAAGACTACAAGGCCAATAAAATATAATTATTATTTTAAAATTTTAAACATTATTCAAAATTTAAAACTAAAATAAACCTACTAACACGACGAGTATATAATTCAGTAATAAAAATATACATTCCATATACTTTCAAAAAAATCAAAAATAAATTTAAACCAATATATATTTTGTTATTTGTGCGTAAACTCAACAAGCATTATTTTGTTTTTCGTTGGTCGTTAAGTTTTTTATTTGATCATGTTCCTACCTGCGAAAAAATCTATGTTATTTCAATTTTCAATAAACTTCGAAGTTACTAGGATGTATTCAACTCTCTCCATATAGAAATAAACTATATAAAATAGACAAAGGAAAAATTTTAACCCATATTTTGTTCCTTCATACATAAACTCAACATTATTTTATCTTTTATCGGTCATTAATTTTTTTATTTAATGGTATTTCTACGTGAGAGTAAATCTATGTTTCTCTCCACATACAAATAAACATATATGAAATAGATCCAAATGAAACTTAAACCAATATTTTATTCCTCGACAACCAATATTATTTTGTCTTTTATTTGTCATTAATTTTTTTATTTAATCGTGTTTCTACATGAGAGCAAATCTATGTTTCTCACAACATAGAAATAAACATATATGAAATAGACCAAAGCGAAATTTAAACCACTATTTTGTTCCTCGTGCATAAACTCAACCAACCTTATTTTGTCTTTTGTTGGTCATAATTTTTTTTTTGTTTAATCATGTTTCTACCCGAGAGGAAATCTAGATGTTTAAAATTTCAAAATTTTCAACTCTCCCCTCTATATATATATATATATATATATTTATTTATTTATTTATTTTATTGTGATAATGTAGCACCTAACATTTGAAGATGTAAAAGTTCTTGAATTAAAAACCATTAGAGTAAACTCCATGGAAATTTCTTTCAAACACTTGCATCTAAAATTATAAACAAACTAAACAAACTTCATTTCTAATCCAATTTTAACTTCTCCCAAAACTCTTCCATTTATATAATTCAAACCCTTTTGAGAACATAAACCCACCATCATCCCCTTCTCTTCCAAACACAAATCCAAAAACCCATTTCTTTGATTTTCTTTTTTGTTTTAAAAAAAAAAAACTCATTTCTTAAAACCACAAAACTAA